ACTCCATCGGTATACATTCTTTTCTTTTCCGTCGAACCTTTCCCCTGAAGTTAGCATCTCCCTTCTGTTTGGCATCCATTCTTTTCTCCAAAGCTTGACAGCTTCTTATAATTATATTACGTTTCATTATTAATTAAAATTTTTCCCCTTTTAATAAAATTCACATCGATAACTCGACTTCGGGTAAAGTCTCACCCTTCGATTCCAAAGGTTTGATGAACTTCGATTGATTTAAAATAAATTTGAAATAACTGGTGTAGAGACGATCAATCAACCTTAGAAAAAGCTATGATCATGATTAAAAAAAGGGTTCTTGTCATGAGGTAGCATTTTTGGGGAAGTAATTGCATTGGCAACAATTAACATTGTCATGAATAATGTAAAGGAGATATCCGGAGAAAATACAATGAAGAAATCAAGCTCAGAGTCAGAATGAGATGACAGGCAAGGCGCAATACACCAATATAATCATCGAATGGCATGCAAGCGATGTAACGTCAAATGAATGGGGAATGAAGTGGCTCACGAATTGGTTAGACAGAGCGATGAAGAATCGTTTTGGAATACTATTCGTGGATCGCGTGCAACGATCAACACACGGTTTACAAACCGCTTTCAATAAAACCTCGCGCGGTCCTCTAGTCCAATTTGGCCGAGTCAAATGAAAGCAGGAGAGGGACATACAGGAGCAACGAAAGCCAGGGCCAGGGTCATCGTTACCGACTCTTCCATATATTCCAACCAACGATTGAATAGAGCCCTCGCACAAATTCCCACCTTCAGCATTAACCGCCACCGGTTTCAAACCGGGCACAAACGATAATTGCTATGATTCATGCAACTATGCAGACCGTTTCCGATGCATTTATATGCGTCGCAAATAATAGCGTACCTACCGCTCAGTCCGCTCAGTCCGCTCCTTCCAACCCAATGTTATAATAATCGCATTCTCTTTTGGTTATACGGCATTAATTTTTTACGAGACAAATGCCACATGAAGAAGAAGATGATGATAATGAGGTGGTCCTGTGGTTAAAGATTCCGAGGCTGTAGACATTTTATTCGCAATATTCGTAATACTCGGATGAGTGCATCTGGCAAATGTGAAAATTCCCTCGTTTTACCCCAGTTTTTTTTACCAGCGTTCATCGAGTCGTACGTTAACCTGGTATAACTTGCCGATTTTTTTGTTGAAAAATTTCTCCTACTCCGCTTTCCACCAGAAAAATTCTCGGCATTATATCCCACACGCTCGGAGACACTCGAATTTATTCGACAAACATGGAGTTAAGGGGTGGGAGTGGTTGAGGGGCTGTAGAGCAATCTGTAAAAATATGAAAAATAAAAAGTTGTGCCTCTCGTTTTTACCCGCGACGCGTCGCGACGCCTCGAGCCCACCCTCTCCCACCACCTTCTACCCCATCCCTCATCCGGCCTCCCTCTTCGCCGTCTTTGCCCTCCCCACGATTGCCAGGAGAAGCCAGGCGCACTCTGCATTTTTATTGGCGCATTACACCGCAGTCGATCCAAGAGGAAACCCAGAACCACGGGACTCTTCATACCCCCAAACTTCTCTCTCTATCATCCTCGAATAGTTTCCCTCCACCCCCTCCTCACCGCTACCCCTCTTCCCCTCTTCTGTGCTGCCTACATTTTGGCAATTAACTGCTACAAAATATAGTCAGCGGCTGTCGTGCAAGTAAATTTCATTAGCGACAAATTCATTTTCCATATCGATCTCGTTGCACCCAGCTTTGTAACGTAAACCTCCACTGTCCATTTAAAGCCCTTTTTTTTTCTAAGCTATCAAGATGGCAGCGTTAATGGATCTCTCTCCAGCCCCTACTCCATTTTTTATTATTAAAAATTCACCGCGAGGGGAATTCTTAATACATAGTTTTGTATATAGAGTTTGAATAATTTTAGCCTGGGGAAATACTGAAGATCTATTACTTAATGCAGTCATAAATTTTCGGAATTGTTAGGAGGAAAATTATGTGGGCAAGATTGAAATCATGTACTTAGTTACATCGCAAGGGTTTTAACATTTTCGGTTAGGAATTTGGTATCTGCATTCGTGTATTAATGGAAGTTGAGGTAATTCTATTTAATCTCAGGCTATTCTTCATTTTTGGTTTGAACGACAGGTTTATGATCCATCAAATTTTATGCTGCTACAACCAATGGCATTTTCTTTCATGTACCTTATAATCGTTTTGAATAGTAAATGAATAAAGATAGTGCGTGTGGTATTTTTACTTAAAAAACGGTGACACATTTGTCAAAAATCCGAATTGTGCATTCTGCATTTGTTCTAATCAATCATCACTACAGCAACGTGCACTAATTAGAAATCTACTCTTACTACTCTTACTCTCTTAAATGGTGAAATTAATTCGTCTCCTTCACAAAGAATTACGGAACTATATGTAATATTTATTCAATATTTCTCTCCATGCATTATGAAAATGTTTGAGTATGGATTGAGCCCTTTAATTACTATTAAGTAAAGATCGGTCAACGCTAATTGATATTTTAGTTCCTTCATACTAAAAATCATTAATATTTACTGAATATTTTTTTCCATGTGTATTTCATGTTGATCATCATCCATGAACAATGGTTAAACATTGATTGAGTGCTTTAATTAATACCAAATGAAGTTCGGGAAGGGCTGTTTAATAGTTGGATACTTCTGTCATCGGGAAAATAGGAGGTAAACGACATGAATCCCAGAAAAGCCGTTATATAATCAACGGAGGCCCATTTGATACATACACGCAGTTGATTATTGCAAACTCAACGCAATATCCATACGGACAAACCGGACATTTCGACGCGATAATTCGTTGATGGCAGACGGCGAGATAAAATTAAATCGGGCGCCGGTTTTATGACGAATGCGGGCGGCGCATTACTAGGGAAAATCCTGAGACCACCATAAGGATTCCCCGATCTCAATGACGATTCAGAGAATGACTCATTTCTTCTTTTCCATCTCATGTGGCCATTTTTTTTTCCCTCTGTTCATTCATTCCAATTCTATTTTCAGCTGTCAACAGATGGAAAAATAATACACGTCTTTCTTAAAATGACATTAACGAGCCATAAATACTTCGACTTACTGACTCCAGTGGCAAGGTCGAAAGGCCCGCGTTTTGCTCCTGAATAACTCTGGTTTATCCACAAACTTGTTCTGATGATGAGAAAACAGGCATCCTAGGCTTTCGGCTGAAATAGAACTCGATCCCAGGGATCTAGTCCGCAATTTATACCCTTAATCCGTGTTTTCATTACCTAGAACGCTTTAAGGAAAATCGTTTTCATTTTGAATTTATCTGACAAAGTCTAAATTAGATAAAAACAAAGACAGTTCTTCAAAGTAATTGATATTCACGAGGAAAAACATTACGTAAATGGATTCTCCTGTTTGCAAATGACTAGACGCAGAGAGAAAAAGTTTCTTGGTGTTTCAAAAAATTGATTAACGTTAGAAAAGAAGTATCGGGGTTCAAGGGTAATTAGACTATTAATCTTCCTGATCACATGTTATCGTTGGTATATTTTTTTTGTAAAAAATGTTGATAAGAAAAATTTTTATAGTAAAATTCATCCTAAAATTGAGTAATGATGTAATAGAAATAACAAATGATTGTAAGAGAAATAACAATTTTTATGGGAAACGGATCACAAATATATTGAAATTTTTACTATATTATTTATTGTGTATTAGGAAAGTTCGTCCATATTGGAGTACTAATTTGTTTCCTTGTGTAATACTTAAGTTATTTATTCTTCAAGGTGCAGTAACCATTCACGACTTCATTACTTTCTTTCTTGTAATTTCACTCCTAATACTCTGGATTCACTGCTTATATCCTCTCACAGTTGACATTAGTTGTCCCCAGAAAATAGTCTTTAATTAAGTAATGAGAGTAAGAGATGAATAATGGATTCTTGGTGGCGAGAATGCTGTATAAAAAAATTGTAATTACGTGTATTGTCAGCGATTTATTTGCCGAGGGGTAATCATAAGCTTAAAAATAAATAAATCCTTTCTTAGAATCCTAATTGATATACAACGTTTCTTTAATTTCACGTGCCTAGAAACATTTAACAAATTTATGGACTCCAAATGCAGATGTACTTTGATATATAAATAATAAATTCGATGTATCAAGGAAAAATATATAATTGACATTTTTCTTCGAGGAAAAAATGTATTTCAAATAATTTTTCTAATAAACTACAATAGTTAAGAGTAATAACAATGAATTTATTACTTATTTATTAGTTTATTAATATGAAAACAGTACATTTTAATAGGAAAACCCATTGGAGTTAATTTTTCTATAGATGTTAATTTCTATTTGATGAATAAATAAGTACGATAGGGTTAAAAATAATTTGAATAAATTGAGTAAAGCTTGAAAGTTCTTCCATTGCTTGGCAAAATCGGCGTCAAAACTGACGATTTCAAATCCAGCACTGTCACAGTATCATGTTTTATTATCGATGGCGTCAAATTTATCATACCATTCATAACATCTTGATTAAATTTAATCATGTGTGCGACATCTAACGCGACCAAGCGAAACTGCATCCCCGAATTTATCAGTTAGGTAACCGTAAAGACAGTGCACTATTTAACCTAACGTCGTAGAACAGATAAATCTATAGCCTACAGAATGTTCTAAAGCTATACCGAAGTCAGGATAAGTATGTCCTTCGATTTTAGGGGTGAGAAGGTGGTGAAATTTTGGACAAAACTAAAGTTTTGTGGGGAAAAAGTTGCTACTTTGACCAAAATCCTGGGCTATCCTTAACGAAAAACTGGCCCTGAGTTTCTTGGCGATTCTTGAATCAGAGGGGGGAGGTAATTCGTACTGACGATCGACTACAACACCATCTCTTTTATGAGATAATACTAATTCTACATAGAGAGGCTCCAAAAACCAGGAACCGAGCTTCGACTCAACCCTAATGTTTTTTGGGTGAAACGTCGAAATCTTTGGTTGATCGTGGACTACAGTGCTGTCATTTTTGTAGGAAAATAGGATGAGTATAGGGATATTGAACTCAATTGCATAACAAAACATTTGTTTGTTGTCATTCAAAGAGTAATATCCGGATAACTTATTTGTGTTTTCGTTAGTTTTTGTTGTTGCATAATGGATGAGGATGCTAGGACAATATGGTGTGGTAATTTGAGCAGCAAGTGCAATGAGGAAATTCTTTATGAGTTGTTTTTACAGGTGAGCACTCATGTTTTTTTGCATAATAAGTTCATTTATATGATATATCAGGTTTATATGATATATCAGGTTTATATGATCACTAGGAACGTCAATGAACGTCCAAAAAGTAATCTCGATTTTTTTCCGGGCATGTATAGCTTCTGACATTCAAAATGATTCAATGAACCTAACCAAAAAATAAACATATTCACCTTAAAAACAACAGGGAAGAATAGAATTTTGATCGATTCTTTTAAACAATGATTTCGGAATTATCGAAAGGACTGGGCAAAATTTAATTCCTCAATTTCTTTTGTTAATTCCTAATTTTTCGTAGTTGTGTGAAATTTTATGAATAAAGGACGCCAACAGAAGAACCAAAGAATTTCCAAAGGAAGGGTAAACGGAATTGACCTGGTAAAACGGATCACGCCTCCCTGCTTCTCGCGAAAAATTAATTATTAGGCCCAACTCAATTGTCCCATTTTTTGTGTAAATAGGTATTCTAGAAATTTTGAGAAGCTTCTATATTAAATTTTGAGACATAAAAGGTTACATATGCGTCATTTCATTAATCATTTGCACGATATTGACCTTTAAATTGAAAAAAATAATATCCTTATGTTTCATCTAAAAGTGTACAAATGAAGGAAAATGAACACAGGCAGAAGTCTCCATTTCAGTTATTGGTAGAGATATCGAAGATTTTGTTTTTTCTTCTCAAAATATTTTCTATTCAAATTAAATAGAGAGAATTTATAAAGATGAAAAAAAA